AGTTATCAAGAATTTAAATTTAATCAATTGAAAACATTTTTCCAAAAGTATTTTAACATGTTGACTATTTTTTCGCTAACACCGCCACCAGTTCACATTGTATTATTCTAGTACTACATCTTATAGAGCCATATACATTCATTCTTTTATATGATCAATATTAAAAAGTACAATTCGTGTCAACAAGAATCCATTCATCGTTCTACGAATGTAATCAACAAAGTACTATTGGTATAAAGATTACTAGTCTGTTTGAAAGTATCCGTAAAAAGCATACGAAAAAAAGTATATATCGCATATATATTTATATATATATTGTTTACTATTTTATACAATAAAAAAAAAACTCAGCAACATATCGACTTGTAGTTTATAAATGATAGATGGTTTATGCGAATGCAATCGTATGATGCCGTAGACACTTGTACAGTTGTACGTTAACCATTTACAGTATCCGTGGAAAAACTATGGAGTGTATCTGTGTTATTGACTCCATAAAAATAATAAGAATATTTATTTTTCAAACACGAGATCAAGAACTATAATGTATTTAAGTAAAATAAAATAATTTAAAATAAATATATTTTTCATAACTATTTTAGATATCTCTCGGCTTCTAGTGTCATTATATTTTAGTATTCGAACAGTAAATATTAGTATCTAAATAAATAAAATCACCATTATAAAATATATGTATTCAATTGGATAAACGTAATACTTTGATTGAGCTATTTTTATTTTTATTTTTACTCCTTACTGTTAATTTTTTTTTTCATCACATATAATATTTTTTAAGTATATGTACTACCTTATTACAACAATGTTAGAAAAAAATATAATTTTTAAATTACATGCACTTTTAAGGTAGATCATTCTACCACAAGTATTTTAATTAAGGATATTATAATTTATAATATGTATGTAATATGTAATACAACTATTAACTTATATATATGAATAATTTTTTAAATTATAGTAAAATATAGAGTATTAATAACTCAAAAACACTCTAAGTTAATTCGTACTTTTTAATAAACAAAATCCCATTTTAAACTTGGGCTTCTTAAATTTGAATGCAGTTGGAAAACTTAGTTCTCAAAGTGCCTTTCACATTTGGCAAATTCACAGAACCGATAATCGGTTTTCCAATTCACGTCTTTGTCCCAACTTCTAAAGTTTATTATATTCTTCACCCCATAACTTTCCATTTTTTCTTTATTATGGTATATTATATACATATATATTATACACAGTCTAATGATTTCTACTGTGAAACGATTAAATATCTTCTGATACCTCAGATTTAAATTATATTTAAAACTATAAATGAAATAAATAGAAATATATTGACATATTGTCAAAGATGCACTATTTTTAGTTGAAAAAAAAATATTAAAGAAAAATAATAACGAAACCGACACAAAAAAAACGAACAAAATCCTTTAGAAAAAAAAAATACATTAAAATATTTCAATCATATTTAAATTGATTCTATTTACTCTTTTTAGAACTTTAACCATAGAAAAACTTTCTTGAAATATCAACACTAAATTTGAACAATAATGGAAAAAAAACGTATTTAATTTTTTGTAAAAATTAACAAAAGCGATTTAAAAGCAATGAAAAGACTATTATATCTATTTTTAACTTATACGTAATATTATTATACATTATGATTTTACCTACTATATTCCGTTTAGGTTCTACGTGATATATAATATATATCTCGAGTATAATATTCTGTATTTCGTTATATTTAATTTAACCAATTTAATAATCACTGTACGTGTAACAATATTTCTACCTTTACCAAGTTGATTCAACATATATATAATATATATATATATATTATATAGTAGGATTCACTAGTATACTCAATCTAATTTTTCGTTTAATAACAAATTTTTTCAAATGCTTGAGACATTTTTGTACTAATAGGAGATACAAATTTTCATTTTACAAATAAGAACCCCCTATATTAACGTAAGTTATTTATTGAATTATTATTTGGAAAACGTTGATGTATCTAATTCAGAATTAAAACGAATAATTTTTTAGTTATTAAAATGTTTATATTAAGGATAATAGTTTTTAAAAATGGTTTTAAATAAAATACGAAATATATAAATATTGGATATAGTATTTATTATCCTTATACCATTTTTATAAATTATAAATTATGATAGATTAATACAAGTTGTTTTTGATATTACCATATCTTTTAATCTTATTACCATGAACTTATTATGTTTAGTTCACATAATTAAATAACCCAAAAACTACTTTTTCTAATTTTGATTTTGATACGTCAACATTCTCAGAAAAATATACAGTAGAAAAGAGAAGTTATCATTTGAAATAGAAAAGCTTGTATCTCCACAAGTCTTCTCTTAAGTAGTACAAAAAAAACTCAAAATGTATGGTATCTAAGTGTTTTTAAAAAATTAAAAAATCAGATCTTAAATAACTGCAAATTTATAAGACGAAAAAAAGGTGAGCATTTTTTTCAAATCACCCTCTGTGTATATTGTAAATACATTTATTATACGCGTTGTCACTAAAAGCCATAGTTACTTTAATAGGTACACACTACAAACAATGTGGTTTGAACAAATTGAATTTTACTACTTCAAACTACATTATTATTTATAGTTTACATGCTGTATGTGTAAGTTTATATAGAATGAGAATAGAGTAATATATACCTTCTGTAGTGTATCGTGAGTGTACATCATTGAAATTTCGGTATGAAAGGGATGTTATATACATACATACGTGTCCAGCAGCATACGCCCTGATTCCACGATTACCGCTAGAGAGAAAGAGAGATCGTCGGCGTAGAGTTCGAGTGGCAATATATGGGGAGATGGCATCGAGGGTGAGAGAGAAACCATATAAAATATATGTTGGTGGTTGGTGGATGAGACATGAGCGACAGTGTTGGTGCTGGGATATGGGCAGCGTGTAGGCAGTGAATGATTAATACTGCTCGACCGAATAATATAATCGTTATGTTTGCTCAACAAATTAATACAGCGATTATTATTATTATTATTATTGTTAAATGTACACTTGGCGTGTTTTCGAGTCCATTTTTATGTGTACTTGGGACTAAAACGACTAAATTCGCAACCCAATATAGGCATAATAATATATTTCGTTTAATACACGAGTGCATAATAATAATGAACATGTAAAAAAAAAAAAATGAAAATCGTTGAAATCGTTTTACATATTGTTATGTATTTATTATACGTATCGGCAAACTCTTTTTCCCTTCTCCACAGCATTGCCAACAATTTTTTTTTTTTTATTTATCTGTAGATCGAGTTCTCGTGTAATATGGTAATATATTTCTGCAACTCATTTGAAAAAAGTAATAAATAATAATAATAATAATAATAATAATAATAATAATAGTAATCAAATAATGTTATATATTTTATACCATTTTTTTTTTTACCTTTGCCTACATACATACAGATTATAATAGGCCTACTAACTATATATACTTTTCACTGTGCACCGACCACCATTGCTCTTTTAACGGTTCGACGTCATTAAACTTTATACATCGGCCAATAAAACGAAATTATTCCTATGCTCCTCTCCTCTACACACTTTTCCCGATTAGGGCTGTCTGAGTGCATTTGATTTTGATGTTCAACATATTGGGAATACTCGACAAAAAATAATCAAATAAATACATGAACACATACGTATTATATATTTATGTGCGAATAGTTCCATTCCAATTAAAACTAAAAATATGCACGTCGGTACCGTAAATGCAGATTTAAATTCATGCAGTATAAATTATTCCACTCGAAGTTTGATGTATAATAGTACACAGTATGTATTATGCACTATATAATATGTATGCGTAAAAAAAAACCTTTGCAATGTTGACCGTTTGATAATAATTACCCATGGTGATTTTTCAATAATTTATTCAATACAGTGCACGTCCTCAGTCGTTATTATTTTTGAATTGTTATTATCGAGTTATTATTTACTGACGAGAAAATTCCACTGATCCAAAAATATAAATGATACATTACCTGCAGAAACATGGATGAATTTGCATTGGCATTCAAAAATGTATTCGTAATATTAACACAGTTAATTAGTGATAACAAATATGAAATTAAAGTCGATTGTGTGTTTAAGCATATCTGTTAAATATTAAAGTTGTCCGTATCTATCCTCATATGCACTAACTATATTAAAATTATTTCCTATTTGTTATTTAAATTTTTGACTCTTCCATAGTTAGCGAAAATAAGAAGCTAAAATTTAAAAATAAATTCACATATTATCTAAAGCCATTTTATAAATAAATTATCCCAGATTATTAAGAAATGTGAATGTAAATTTTTTTTTTTTTTAAATTTTAAGTTTAAGTAAACCAAGCAGTTATAAGAGTTAAAATAATTGTGGTCTCTTAGAAATAATTTTCAAAAAACATATTTTAAAACTACTTAATTAGAAAAAAAAAATGATCACGAAGAAATTATAATATGCTTTATGAATGTTAATTACTATTCGATATACTCGTATTATATCGAATAGCGACAATTGTTGGTTTTTTTTATTTTAGATATTTTATGCGTATAATGCATTACAATTTTCTGAAGTTTACCCCAATAAGATGCAATTATATTATACTATCTGAGCAGTTTTGGAATGTTATAGAAGTAACATTATTAATTTGACCCATAGAACTACTTAATAATTATAATATTAATATAACTATTATGAAATATTTTCGAAACATATTGAAGTACGTTATGATATCCGATATAGTAGTAGTATATAATTTTACAAAATACTCAATCTACTGAATAAATTATTAATAGCTTTTTTTAATTTCTGGGTGAAATTGAGTTTAAGAAAAAAAAACAATATTCACAATAGAATTAATAAAAACATCAAAAAAACATATATTTTCTGTTCATGCAATTAAAAAAATGTACACATAAAGGTATATAATATTTACGTACAAATATGTTTAAAATTTAAATAATTGAATTGTTTTACTTAAACATGTAATAAATGGCAGTTTTATTTTTCACCATCTTCCGCCATCTTGTGATTTCCCATTTATTTTTGTCATTGTTCATTAAAAAAAAAAGTTTTCTCCAAAATAATGTTTAACGCTTACATACATAGCACCTCTAATCGTATATCGTAAGTAACTTAATGTACATCAACATATTTAACAAAACATATAAAAAATTATAAATAGTAAAATAAAGGAAAGTCTATTTTAGATAAACTGGTTAAGAGTTTTTTGGAAGTCCTGTAAACACGCCAATACTTGAGCGGATGATGGTCGTTCCTCCGGGCTGGGTAGCCAACAGAATGTCATCATCCCAAACCTGTAATAATATATGAGTATAAATAACAACAACAATAATAATAATAATAACAATAACAATAATTGGTTCACAATTAAAACCCTGGAAAACTAGATTATCTGCTTTTGTTTTAGGGCATCCGATTACTTTAGGGTTGTTATCCCGCTTCCATTGAATAGCTCGTTAAGATTGAAACTCCCGTTAGAGTTAAGTGAATAAAAAAAAAAATAATAACCCCACTGTGAAAACCCTTTGGTAGGGTAGTTTCCAGATTAATGTAGTTTAATGGTATGTTTTTTTGTTCCATAAGTACTCACAGGTCGTCCGGGCAGTTGATTGGTTGCGATAGCCTGTATCCTTCTTGTAAGTAAAGGCTCAGATCATACGGATCAATTTCTGAGTAGGGCTGAGCACCTAAACACACAAGTTCCCAGAGCAAAACACCAAACGACCACTAAAATAAACATATTTCGTAATTAGGTAAAAACGTTATATTTTAATTTACATTGGTTTTAATTGATGTTTTTTTTATACAGCCAATTCCTTATGTCTTTAAAAACATACGTTATTACCTTTATTTATATAGAAAAATATTATTTAAAATAAATTAAAACTGTTATTATATAATAAACTCGTAATAACTAATCTTTAATTTTACATTCTAAATTGTCTTTATTATATTCATTTACTTTATAATGGCACTAACTATTATATCAAATAATTTAATATGCTAAACCGATATATTAGATCAAAGTTTGCAAAATTATAAAAACCAAACTAACAATATAATTGAGATGAAAAACTAAAATAAATACAAATAAACAATTTAACTAAGTATTAAATCAGCTTAAGAAAATTCCAGAAAATCAAATATCACATTATGTGTCCCCCTTATGATATTAATTTAAAAGGTACTGTTAAGACAATTTGCATAAAAAAAATAATAATAAACGGTTCGTTTAATCCTTGTTTTTAAATTTAACAGAAAATCGCTAAAATAGTATTTTATTCCTGTATTTTTTTATTTAAATTATATTGATTTTTCGTCTTATGTAATCACAAATTAACCGACTCAAAATACCTAAAATATTGAAATCTGTGTTAATAAACACAAGTCTAAATTAGAATAACAATTTAAATAATAGTTGTTTTATCAACAATATTCAATAACTGTATTTAAATTATAAAATAAATATTTAGTATATTTCCATATAATTATTTAGATAAAATAACTATTGAATATTTTTTTTCAATAGATTATTTATTCATGTATATATAAAAAAAAATATATATATATAAATATATTATTATTGTTAATTTATTAAAATTTAATTATATAAATATTTTTTTTTTTTACAAGGATCGACATTCCTGTAAAAGTTTTTGTTTTTAAACGCATTGTATGCCACATAGCTTTAATTTTTGAAAGGTTAAGTAGTTCGAATTTATAATGTACGATATTATTTAAATATTTTTTTTTAGATTAATTATATACCTAGATAATTTTTTAGTTTGAAAGATTATTATAAAGTATTCATCGTTAATATTATTAAAATCAAAAGAACTTGACAATGTTTTAATATAATTATATATTTCAAAAAAAAAAAATACTTCATTAGTTTTAAGAATAAATTCATAATAATTATAACTTATTATAAATGAATGAATAAAATAAATATTAAGAAGAACAAGACATTGCGTTTAATTATTTAATAGAATGTAGTTGATAAAAAGATTATTGTTCTATAGTATAATACAGAAACTTTTACAATTAGAAAAAATATGATAGAATTCTTTTTTTTATTTATTAATTGTATTATGTCAATACACCAGGTACTTTTATAATGTAAGGTACAATTTACGATTGAATACAATAAAAATATAGAATAGTAATTAATAATCAATTGTTAAACATAAAAGCATTTTAATTATTAAATTTTCCAGTAAACCGAAGTATACGTACTATTATACTATTTATGAGTTAGTAATAAAAATAATTAGAACATTTAGTAATGATAGATACAAACTATGCGTATTTACTATTTACTAATATTTACTAATCGAATAATCTAATATTAAAAATTTATTCTAAGTAACATTAATTAAACAACCACACTTAAAAGCATATTTTGGTTCAAGTACATTATTTTTTCTTTGGCAAAATTTTCAAAATCTATTGTTCTGAAGTTATAAACATTGACAATTTTAGAGTAATTTTAGAGCAATTTTAGAGTAAGAATATATTTATTTCCAGTTATTATTGATAAATAAATATAAAAATAATATTCAGCATAACTTACTATGTCCGAGGCACCGTTATAGGTGCGTAAAGTGATACTTTCAAGGGCCATCCACTTTATGGGTCGATTTTCGTTGTCGTTTAGACATGAATAATCATCAGGAAACAGGTCTCTAGACAATCCGCTATCGGCTAATTTGACTCGCAACTTTTCGTCCACGCTAAATACGCACACACAAACACACATACTGTTATTGTAATATAGATTATAATTTACATGGCGGCCGAAATTATAGATTTAAACAGGCTTAAAGGAATTATGGACAAACGATTACGTAAAGATAGGGGAAACTTTTGAAATAACTTGCAGTAACTCATTTATAGCGCGCACCTGCTAAACCTCTTTAACTCTCTTTAAAAAGAACTTAATATGGATTTGTTCCAAAAAAATTTTAACTCTTTTTAGACAATGTTTTTGAAATATTCAATAGAACAAAATTCAAATTATAAATTTACATATTAAAGAATATTTACATTTTTATTATTTTTGTTTGCTAAAATTGAAATAGTTTGATGTCTATAATATTATTATGTTATTAAATTGTTTAAAATAATTTCCAGGGGTAATAATAATTTATGATACGACCTCTATAGAATTTCAAAGTATGATAATCACCCTCTTTAGAACTTATTGCATTCTTGATCTAGTGTTAAGAGCGAGACTCGTGTATTAAAATCAATATATAGCAACCCTTCAGCTTTTTAAAGAGAATATTAAATGTATGTAATATTTTCCCTACAGTATACATTTGTTAGATTATTACATTTTATATCAAAAGCATAAGATGTAAAAGTTAATGATCATTTTTTTTATCGCTTACCATGACATTAAAAAAAAAAATAAAACAATATAAAATAATTAGATATTAATAACGACTTTAAATTTATATTAAAATATTTCTTCAATTTTATCTTAATAAATCGCAATTGATATTTAATAAAATACCAAAATGCTTAATATAAATTAACTTAAACACATTTAACTAAACATTTTTATTCGACTGTGAAAACATAGTTTTATTTTAATCAAACTTTATTATCATATAGATTTTTTTATTAATCTAAATTTTCAAAAAGGTTTTTTTTTTTTAATGTATTTTACTGGAATATTTTAACTAAAAATTAAATTGCATTTTTCTTTATAAAAATATCAAATAAGTACTAAAATATTATAAAAAAATGCCGTTTTTATGTCACAAAATAATTTTTACATAAAGTTCATTGCACAGATTATTGATTTAGGTAGTAGTGTTTATTGAAATATAAATAAATATAATGTCTGAACTTGAAATGAAATCAACGGGGGTTAAACATTTACAAAGGAATAAAAAATTTAAAAAAAAAAGTTCTATCCAAACTAATTTATGTATATCATTATTCTTGGCATTGTCAAGAACAGACAATTTTAAAAGGATGTCAAAATTATGTTCTGTTACTATTATCACACATGCAAACCTAGCAAAATTAAGTTCACAGAAACAAGTGTAGGAATATAAATAATTCTATTTTTTTCAGACCAAAGTTTCATGTCTTTATTTATTGTTAATATTCCTTATTTTGTTTCAATCTTTACGTAAATATTTCATTACATTCTATGCGTATATATTTTTAAATTCAAACTATTTTATTTTCATTTCAATTGTAAGTTTAAATTTTGTATAAGATGAGATTGATTAATAATTAAATGTCAAAGGTATTGTACTGTTAAATCTATTATTATGCTATATTCATTATGTTGTATACTTACACACAATTCCTGGCAGCTATATCCTTGTGACAGATACCTTGGCTGTGAAGGAATACACTACCTAAGCAGAGTTGTACAGCCATGTTAACAATGTCTTTTGTGGTTAAGTTGTAGTAGTCGTTATTTTTCCTTTTGCAATCGCATAGAAACCTGCAACACATGTATTGTTTTATAAATGTAGTCTAGCACAAACATAATCACATTAATGTAAATAAAATATTATTATTTACCTTTTAAGATTTCCTTTATTACTGAACGGATATAATATCGCGGTTGGTTTATTTGAGTACTGACATACAGAAATTGGTTGTAATATGTTTACATGACCCGGTAAACCATGAAGCATTAAACTTTCAGCCAAAAACATTTTATTTTGTTGAGATGCAGCATCAGCTATGGAACAAAATTAAATTAATATTATGTGCTAACTGCTAAGACTTAAAATCATAAAATCATAAGAATAACTTAAGGTTTTAAAAATATGTAAGCATATACTATGTTTGTAATTTGTATAAATATTAGAATAAAATATGAATACTGTTTTAAGACTTTTTATCATTCAGTCAGTTTATGTTCCAAACAAGTTTAATGTTTAGAATATTTTATTTGGATTCATATAAAAAAAAAATAAAAAAACCATTTTTATTTGATGGAAAACTTTAAATAAATATTTTTATACTTGAATGAGAGCAATGAAAAGTCATTTTAAAAGTAAACATTTTGGCGTAGGTATATATTTTTAAATCATCCATTTCCAGACCCAACAGACTGCAGAATAAATTTAAATCATGTCTGACAATAAATTCCACCGGGAATTATTTGGAGGGGGGTCTATATTATATTATTATAATATATATATATAAGTATATAATATAATATTATATATATAAATATATTTCCATTAACCCCCTCTACCTTCTTTTCCTGTGAATTTCACATTTCCTTAACCTAACCGTTCAAAGTAGCCCCTTTTACCGAACATATTAATCGACGACGACTGAACTGGAAAACGTATGCGCCTCACCCCCTTTCAACATAAAAAAATAAATGAAATAAGGTGTACAAAACACAAGGGTCAAGATCAAGGGTTCAACGTTTCGAATTCCAAAGGGTTTTTAACATGCAAAGGATCATGATGAAAATATATCACGCCCACGAATTTTGCCATAGTATATGTACTTATATAACATACCGCATGGGGTACTGAGGTTATACTTTGTTCTAATTGGTTTTATTAAAAAGAAAAACACGAACTATAAAATAAAGTTTAACCACCTTATTCTTTGAAGTGGTTTTTTCTGTGAGTATGTTTAACAAAAATAAGTGTTTTATATTCGAAAATACGTAAACTTACACATAAATCGTCTAGTTTTCAGTTGCTTTTCGTGTTAACAAACAAACAGTAATTTATTTTTAGTTTTGATCATAATCACACAACACTGATAACTTAAGTTAAATACTTCTGTTATAAAAATATCAAATAATAAAAATGTAAAGTTAATAACAATGATGTAAGTTCAGACGCTAAAATTAAATGAAAATGTTATTTTAAATACCTAGGGAAATTACAAATTATTATGGGTAAACAATAAGTGGAATACGATCAATCAACGTTAGCGCATAGTAACTAACAAATACCAGAAATAATTTATTAGTATTTCTCGAGTATTATAAAAACGATACTTCAAAGTTAGCTGATGTAATTCTCGTAAAAAATAAATAACTATCTACGTAAAGCAGATAAAATACTCGAAAGAGTAATACGCTTCTAATATTATTAATAATAAAAACAATTTTAAATTAAAATTGTTAATAATGTTTATTAGTTCGTTAAAAAACAATCAATTGTAATGTCTAACACACTACCTCTATGATACGATAATGAATCAGTAATAATAATAATAAAAGTAATAATTTTTATGTCGTTGAAAAGTATTATTTTTTAACTATATCTACACTTTATGATAACACCTCTAAACGTCTTACGTGTAGTTATATGTAACAAATGTGATTACTATAATATTATGAATCATATACATTATACCTACAATAGGTTCAGCTAGGAAGTATAATAGTAATTATGTATTTATATAGTATAATAAGTATTCGAGGATAAAAGACGTTTGTACCTGCGGCAAGAGAAAATATGATAAAAGTGACCGGAATGAATCTGTCTGACATGATATGGTATTATATTATGTTGCCACTCGTACGGAAAGCCCGATACTGGCATATGTAATCGCGTTGTGCTTACGACAATGCAAAGGTACCCTACGTACACACAATATAATATTTATATGATGACGCAATACATGTATTCCACGATGTTTACCCCAGTTGCGTACAGGACGTAAAGCAAACATTTCCCCGGAATCTGAACAAACACGTAGCCTTCAGGTAATGTTTTTTATTTATTTTTTTTTTTATTTTTATATCTAGTTAGAGATTAAGTGCTGACCGGAGGGCACAAATTGAATGTACACAAGTGAATCGAAATCTCTCGGTCGTCTCCGGCAAAAAACCTTTAGACCAATGTTGCCACACAAGAGGGAAATTATGACGCTTTAATTTTTCATTCTTTTTTTTTTTTTTTTTTTTTATCCCATTTATACTTTTTTTCTTTGCGCACATTTGCCAGCCATTCAGTAGACGACCCGGTCACATCTTAAGTAGCGGATATTACCGTAGAGAAGAGGGTCGTGGTTGAAGAATTGTGGATAAGATGCAGAGACAGTAAGGCGGAGATTGAAAATTCGATTCATCTCCAACGAAATGATTTTTGCGGACGACGAAAGTTATCTTTTCAAACGCACGTGAATTGTTGCCCGGGGGACTGTAAGTTGATCAAACATAAATTGATCTTGTTCGGGTTATTTATTATTTTTTCTCGTTAAACAGGAAAGGTAGAAAATTTCGATATAATAATAATATACCGTATGATACGAAACAAAAGAAATAGTTAATAACTCTTTACGGCATGATAGATTTCCAATAGTGTCGATGTTGATAAGTATTGAAAATTCCACCACAAACGGCACAAACTGTATTAGTCGAATGAGCGTATTAAATATATTGCAACATTTCACTTAGTTAACAAAACTTTAATTTCATATGTCTACCCGCAAAATCAATGAATATAAGCCTTAATTAAAAAATCAAAGTTATATATATATATTGTAAAAAAACTTTCAATCTTTTCAATCTCATTAAATTTTTTAATAGTTAAAATGATTAAATTGTATGATACAAACATTCAATATTGAGCGAAGGTGAGATTGAAATAACGCACAAATTACGATGGAGTTTATATTTATATTCATGTACATTTTGTTAATAATAATAATTAATATTTAACAACATAATAGTATTACATATACATATATATACAATATTGATAATAATATTTAACCTATAATAACGGCCACTCTATGTTTAAAAGTAATACAGGGTAAAAGTATTGTCTTTATCGATAACATCAGTAATATTATTGCCTTTTAAAATATTTTGTCGTTTTATTTTTTTTTCTATTCATATATCTCGCGTACGTATATACTGAATAGATATTTATTATTAAATAAAATATTATCATTTCAAAATGAGCAAACAAAATTCATGTATTCAAAGCAGTTATTTTTGTTGACTTTAAAATTTGTACTATGATTATTTATTTAGATTATAAATACGATTTTATGGCTGTTATATTAAATATTTATACAAGTAAATTTATTTTAATGGATTATATTAAAATAATAAAATAATAAAAAACACAAGTTTTTTTTCAGTGCTAAATATGTTAAAAATTCACTTTAAACAAACGGTGTTTTGACAAGTCTTGACAGTAGTTTTCGAATTAATTTATTATTTTTATATATAACTAAAATACATTATTAATAGTTATTTAATCACTTAATTTGTATCACATTACATAACATTTATATCTAGTTAGCATTACTCCACATGAAATTTTCAATTAAAAAAAAAAAATGTGAAACAAAACTTTTTTAATTAATACAATCAATGAGAAATATATTAAAGCCGATGATAGACCTTTTTATAAGAAACATTTTTACTTAATAAAGTTTTAATGAATATTTTAACGATTTTATACCTGTTAAATAATATTTATTTTTATTTTTTGTAAATTACAATTATTGTTCTAGATAAACTGAAACTAAATTTTGTTATTATTATTACTTTTTTTTTTTAACATATTATGTATAATCTAAAATTTGAAATTTAAAAACATTAATAAATAATAATGTATGGTTTAAAAACTTAAATAAGTATAGTAACAATCCTCAGTAAGCTTGAATTGGCAAAAGTTCATGGATTATAAAATACAGCCATTGTAAAAAATCAACATAGGGTTTTAATTGTAAATAACTTTAAAAAAAAAAAACCTTTTAACTTTAACCATTTTTTTTTTTTTTTTAATATAGTGGTTTTTAAACGTAGGTAGGTAGTTTTAAATTTATCATATCCATCAGTTTTACACATTCAAATCAAAATTAATTGCATTATGAGCCAGTTTTTAAGTGCGAAATATACTATACGTATACATCAATGTCATTTTTCAGAAATAATTTAAAAAATTAGAATTTTTTATTCACTTATTTAATAAGTTATCAATGATAAATAGTTATTAAACATTTTTTATGGAATAAATTAGTAGTTATTTAAAAAAACTGACTATAAATTTTAGTTCATTTATATGTATGAAAACTATAATGTTTTACGTATCTTTATTAATGTTTATAATACTGTTTACATACTGTGTCACAAAAAAATGAACTAACATATTTTTAAGCCAGTTTTCTAAATTAATAATATCGCCTACTTATTTAAATATTAAAAGTAGCTTAATTTTATCGTAAAATTTGTAAACAAAGAGTATTTATCACTTTAAGTTGATTTTCGGTGAATTTTATTTAATTAATATAAAATAATTGTATATACATTATACATATATAAATGTATATGAATAGTATAAAAGTATTTTATTTCATATTTTTATTTTATTTTGACATTTTAACGCACATAAATGTTTGTCTAAAAGGGAAAATGGATGTGATTCACCACAGAAGTTGAAGTTTGATATGTAAATTATTTACATTTCTGTTAGCTATAGGAATCAATTTTTCAATCAAAAATACAAGCATAATAAATTACCATGTCCAATCGTATTACGCACCTTCAAAAGACCTTATTTACAGTTTATTATTTATAACTATAATCTAGTAATATTAGATGTAACGAAAAATATAATAAATATAAATCAATATTATGTAACGATACATACCTATAATGTTAATATTCTATCTAAAGCATAAATCGATTTCAAACAATTAAATTACACCTAAATAATTCTGGTTAAAAGTTAACCATTACCCAGTGTGATCTTTCACATTTAAAAAAAATTTAAAAATAATACTGATACAATTGAAGACTATTTGACTACAATAACTGTACGCTAAAAGGAGTATTGTTCAAACAAATCCTCCTTTGCTGTTGGTTAAACACGGTGGGGGGGGGGAAACTATATGTCGTTAAGTTGAATATTTTTCAACTTTAAAGTAATACCCAGTAACATGGTGTATTAAAAAAGAAGTATACAACATTCACTCAATTTAAATAAGACGACATTTTAAATTATGGGTGACACGCCAAAAAGTGATAAGTAATCTTTTAGTAATTGACAAAGTTAAAATATTTATTCTAATCAAGACAATCTTTTTTATTTATGGTTTATATTTTATCATACATTTATAGACATGTTTCAATTACTAAATAATGTTATTTCACTTAAAACTATTTGTACCTACATTTCATATTTTCATTATTATGCGCAAAAAACTAAAAAAGTTGTACTAAAATTGGATCATTTGTAATTTATTTTTTATACTATTACATTTTAATTGTTAAATTTTCATTTACTTAAAGCATTACCTATGATATTCTAACAAGAGAATTTTATGTAATTTTATTCAACTCTAAAAATAATTGCTAAGTTTTTTGGTTCACTATATTATAATATTACAAAAAAAAAATGTATTCTACGTAATAAACATCTGTACAACTCACTTGTGACGGTCTTGACGAGAACTTCTTGCGATCCACCACCATTGTGTTTATACGTGCCTTGATACACCTTACCGAAAGCGCCCTCCTGGAGAAGTCTTTCCAATTTGACCGTAGCGCCATGCGAGTCTAGCTGACGTATACGCTCGTCCAAGTCATCACACATTCTCCGATCGTTAACGGCCATCTAATTTCGATAAACAACGAATATATATTACACTATTTACATCACTCCCTTATCCGAGAATTATTAGCGTTGAATAATTTATCACCGGTCGGTGGTATATATTTATGTATATATATGGTTGATGGGAAGCTTTGCGGAGTGCATACATGGGTTGTCAGAATTCCCGGTACGAAAATCATTAGAGAACTGCGAGTGCATTAGCAATACATAGTTTATAAATTAGTCATAAATGAGAGTTAATTTTAGTTCTATAACTATTATATTTTTTTTTCCCCCAATCGTTCATTATTTTATACGGTGAGCATAATATAATATATATATTATTATGACGAATAGAAGGTATTTGACGGAGTATTGAAATAACGATGGTTTTCTCTTTTTCTCATCCAAACTGTCAGTAGTTGAAAAAAAAAAATGATTGATCGAATACGAAAGGTCCTTTAACCCGAAATCTTTAATGGCTTTAATAAACACGACGACTATACGACTTTTGTCCACGTCACGACGTCGTTTTGGCAGAGTTCCACTCAAATTTTTGTCCAAACGGGACAAAAAATTATAATAAACATAAATAAATAAATAGAAAGAAAAAATGTGCCAGGACATTGATTCAAGACATTATCTATTGGGAGGGTATTCGTGTTTCTAATCCTGTTAAATGGCTTGGTGCCCATTTGCAGGGTGGTAATCGATTATGGCCGCAACCGCGAGGATGATTTATCTACCATAATGGGTCTAAATCACGCGAAACGATTTTGCGTAATGATCGTGTCACCCAAGGGGAAAGTGTAACAGTGGTATATTGATTTTTCGTTCATTATAATTCGATAAGAATGGATGCCATGGGGAAGTTGATGTACATTTATATGTGGAATGGAATAGGTAAACAATGGTGTTTCAGAGTTAATTTACATGTTTATAATTTATAGAATATTGATTAATAGAGGAAATCTCGAACAACAGTCGTGATTATCACGTGAAAATTCTGGGTTAAGTAACGAATGACACTAATTAACACATATCCCGCATAATGTATAAACGTGTAACTATAATTATTAATACGCTGAAGTAAGTTGTACTATATAACATTCTCGTATACTATTACATACATTATAGTATACCTAAAAGCATTTAATAATATAATAACAAATGGTATTAAGGTATGTTTTAGGTAATTATACTTTTAGCTATGAATACATTTTTAAGCATTTTGGTTTCAACTTCCAATAATATCAAATCATTTAACATTGTATTATTTGCGCTTATTATAAATACCATATTGTGTAGTTTTAAATTACTTTCAATTAAAAAAAAAAAATTATTTATTTATTTTTTGTTTTTTTTTTTTTTATATACATAATATTAAAATATGTTTTTAAATTATGAAATGAATAATATTAATAAAATAAGGAGTATATTAAAAAATAACAAGATATCGAGAACCAAATATAAAAATATTTTAGTTTTAAACAAAATCAACATGAAAACGTATATAAATTAATTTACAAGTCAAATGTAAAACTAATCGTTAACCGAAGGCTTTCTTTTATGTTGAATAATAATTTATAATAAATTATACAATTCCCTAAAATAGCATAAAGAATAACTGTTTAACTTAACAAAGACTTGGTTATTATACAACGAACACAATTGATTTATGATTGTTTTTAAGATTTTTCTTATTAATGTTAATTTATTATCAAAGTTAAAATAATTAACTTATAATTTATAAGTTCGTGCTTTAATAAACTAATTAGAACTAATTACCATTTAAATAAAAAAAAGGTTTAAATGTTACTAAATAATTGTATTAGAATATAATTATTATCATTTTCAACTCCAATCAGTATTCAAGCTATAACTGTAAATAGAAGCCAAGCCAAACCAAATTTTTTTATATATATTTATGTTTAGAAAGATTTATTAACATAATAAATGAAAACTATTAAAGGATACGTTATCAATAACTTTACATTATTTATAATTGTCATATTATTATAAATAATTAAAATTATAATACTATTAATATTTAAAAAATTAATAAACTGTGTTAAACGAAAGAACAAAGCGTACGTTTTGAAACAAATTAATTTAAAATTAAGGCAACCCTATAAATTGTCTAAAGAGATAACACGTACCTCATTGTATTCTTTGATGTATACCACTCCTAGCCCTTGAGGCTACATTGTCTTCTTTGTCTGGACTCACCCCTAATCCAAAGGCTTCATACATCCCTCTTCTTCGTATAATCCTGTACTGTACACCTCTTTCATTATCTGCCTATACCATGCCCGATAAACTTTACATAGGTTTAATTCAACTTTACTCTCTAACAGTGCTATTCCTTTCTTGTTCTTGTATATCTTTGTATGTCTGATTATTTATAATCTTATTGTACCTACGAAGTCATCATAGTTTCTTTAACTGTAGTCATTATATTTTGAAAAATTAGATGTTTTATATCTCGTCATAAACATAAAGCATATTGTGTTTTTTTTTTTTAATCATTATATCTTTAAGATTGACTAAGATAAAAAAAATTCTTAAAATAATAGAAACAGAATATTTTATTTAATAGCAGGTATGAATAGTATCTACAATACCTATGCAATTTATAGTTGATATTATATTGTATTGATTAGTTTTTAACATTTTATAAATAATTGAATTCTAACAACAAAATTACTAAAAATTTATATTAAAAAGGAAATATATGTTAAACGTACATGAAATATATTATGCATGCATGTTACAGTAAAAGTATGAATATCGGTAAAACCTAGGATACACAAAATAGTTTGGTCAAATCCCGAATGATTTTAGTAGTTGGACTTTAACAAATAAGATTTGATAAATCTTAGAATAAATACCCACACCTGAAATACTGTCTTACGGTCTTACCGGTGTCAGTCCGAAATTTTTTACTAATTATATGATGTTTTCTTTTTTTGCTCTATACTCGTATATAAAAATAATAATAATAAAAAATATTGTTATTATTAAGTATTTTAATTATTATATATTTAGTATTACGATTAGATAGGTAGGCACATTTATATTGTTAATATTATTATGTATTGTACATATACATTTTATATTATATTAAATATTACAACAAAAATATTTATTATAATTATTTATTTGTGCAAGCTTGACTGGTGTGGCATCTTAAGTTGTATAATACATTTTTGAATCGAAAGATCGGCCATTACATCGATTTGTGATACATATTTTCAAATAGTCGCACCATATCAAGCTTTGTTCACCAGTCAAAGATAGTTACAATACTGCTTGACGAATACCAACTTCATTGTCTGGAATATTATTATTGTCGATTCTAAAAAAATTTCTCCATATAAAGTTAACTGATTCTAAGTAAAAAGTTAAAAATGTTCCTCTTTTTGAGCCCAGTCGACATCAATACCCAGTTTCAAATTTTCTTCTCAGTCAATATTAACAATATCAAACCGTTTATATGATCTACTTCAATTGTTTTTTTAATTAGTTATAAACAAAGAATTTTTATTATTTATTCACTGCAACAACATTATTTAAAATTTCATAAAACATATTTTAAATGGCATATTAACAATAAAACGAATATTGCTCATAAAATTATATTCAATAGGCTTAAATATAAATCTATTATCTTCATTATTAACTATTTCGTATCATAAAGTAAATTATACGTACAACACATTGTTTAGTAGAAACAAATTTTATCACATAGGTAGATTTATTTTTTGCTAATGTAAGTAATGTGACGTAAGTCAAAATAAAAATTCCCAAAGTCAATTGCAGTATAATAATTTGTAATAATATAAATGTGTATACATATCTAATATACTTGTAGGTAATAGCTAATATACTTAAATAATAATATTATTATTATTTATTAATGAAAAATGATATTGTAAAAATCGTAATTGCGTATATTAAGTATATTACCTTATTTTATTGCATACCTGTATTATGATAAATTCACGTATAAATTATTTTTATTGTAATTTTACTGTCTATGTTACACATAATTATTATTATATCCAGCCTAAACATAATTATTATTAAGAAAATGGGAGAAGTTTATTTAAAAAGTATAAATTATTGGTTTAATAAGCAACTTATTGTCAGATCAATATAGTGATGTTATCGTCTTTAAACACATATATAAATCGTTTGAAATGTTTCTCACAGAAGGAAGAGTGTGAATACGATAACTTCCGTAGTTAATAATAACACACACACACACACACACACACACACACATATATATATGATACATATCACATTATTATATTATTATCATATAAAAATTCTGCGTTAATAGTTTTCTATTGGGATGGTGAAACATGACTATAGAAGAGAGTAGTGGTAAAGAAAATGTCAGTGGAAAACATTTTCAAATTTAACCTATAAAGTAGAGGGGATAAAGATATAAATAAATAGAGACCGGAACAAACGTATATATTACAGGAGTCAGTAGCTGCGCACATTTGCTATAAAACTGCAGTGTTTTTAGCACATTAAAACTGTATACTCATATAATTCTACACCTATTTATATAGGTTGTGCGTCTATATTTACGTTATATTTTATATTTAAAATGATTAACACAACTACATACATATAGGACGTTATGTTTATATTACTATTACTATAGTTTAGAAGGTTTTTACCAACGGAGATGATACTCACCAGTGGTGTGCAGGCGTAATACGATATTTTGGATGCCGTGGGTGATGCTGGTTTCGAGTAGACGTGATAATTATTACTTCCGGCTGCAGTCGCCACGTAGCTGGTGGCGTATGGTGACACGTGGCTATTGCCTTTGTTTCCGGAAACTCCACTGCTTATACAGTGGTTTGGAAGATCGTCTTCTGCCATTGATGCAGCTGTTTTCCGCACGCTTCTGATGGTCGCATAAGTACCGCTAGTGCTGGTCACTGAGCCGACGCGCACCAAAACGTTGGGGTTGGCCACGTAAGCGGCACTCGTGTAACTAGTACTAAAACAGAAGAAAAAGAAAAGGTTTTTTCTAAGAAAGAAAAATAGCGAGAGAGACATAACAAAACCATAATCGCAGAGCATATATAATGTACATACTTGTGGGATGAGAAAAATGGTACCGAAAAAAAAAAACCGACACACTGTTAAAAGTTCGGAAAAAATAGTTCAGAAGAAAAATGTCAGAGTAAACAATGAAAAAAAATCTAAAAACCACATTAATATAAAAGCTATGGATAAAATTCCGACGAAAATGTTCAATTTTTAAACGTGAAAGAAATAAATATTAATAGTAAATATATAAAGAAGTCAGGCAAAACTTATTATTGGGCTTGGCAATTTGTCTGATTTTGTTTTTACAGGCAATGAAAAATGATGTTACGTGATAACGAAATTTGAAAGCAATACGATAGATAAATCATCAAATTTGACAAATTGAATGGAATTCTATAATAGTCTAAAAATCAATACAAAAAATATATCACTATTTCACTCAAAATCTCAATTGTAAATTATACACACCATTAAATTTGAATAGGTCATACAATTTTACACGTTAAATATTCAAATATACCAGTATTATAAGTAATACTAAATGTTTTTCGTTTAGGTGTTTATGTTATAGATGATATTTCATTGACATTTTATTTTATTTGAAATCAATAAAGTGTTTGACTTATTTGGAATAATACATATCATAACTTTAATCAACAAAACTGTGGTAATCTAATAATTTATACATTTATGTGAAAAAATATCTTATTATTCGTGTTTTATTTAATTTTAAGTATATTATGAGTCATATTGTGATCTATTATAAACATTTCAATTATACGAATAAAACCTAACATATATTTTTGATTATGCGACCACTAATGGTCGACCTTGTTTTAAGTAGCAGCAAAAACTACACAAAGAGCATATTACAACGTTATACAGAAGCTCATCGCCCTGATGATATGTCAATTTAATAAAGATAAATAGGAAAAATTATATTTTAAACAAAACATTTTTTTATTTTTTTCAGCAGTTGAAATATTGGGTTTTTTTCCTATTAACTATTCAATCAAGAATTAATTTAATATTATAAATTCTTGGTATTACCTAGAAACGTGTATTGTTTTGCGAACATAAATAAATATAACTTGTTAAAAAAATACAAAGCGTATAAATAAGTCAAAATATTGTTTGTTTAAATTTTTTACAGTTGGACTCACTTTAACGGGAGTAAAAAATAATTGTAGTTTTAAAATCAATAAAAATAAAAAAAAAAATTTCATTTTATATTTTATTGTTTTTTTACGATTATTCTTTGAACGTTAAATGTATTTCATAGAAATGTGTACCTATTGTTTTATCAAAATTAAAAACACTCATCATAATAAAGAGATGTATTGCAAATTAAAAAAAAAAAAAAAAAATGAATGGTTAGTAAACATTACGAGTATATTCATAAATTCATGCCTACATTGTTATTATTATACTAATCATATTAAGTAGCGTAAAATGTGTTATTCTAAAACTTTTTTTTTTATGTGCTTAACGCGTGTTCAATTAGTGTTAGTTACAAGCTGAGTGTATTATACCAAGAGTTATAAAATTATAGTAAATATGATAATCAGAATATTTTTGCTGTGGAACTCACATTAAACTGCTTGGATTTGATGAAACGCTAACTATCATATAACCAACAAAATAAACCTAATTTAATAGAAAGCTTTAAAATATTTAAATTATTCTTTATCACGGAAAAGCGTATAACAGCTGCATTTAGGTATCTACTTTCGGTATGCACATTATATTTTAATAATTTAATTTGGAGAACACGTTTATTTTTTATTTTGTCACAACAACTTTACTATATACTATTACAAATATCCTTTAATCTCTTGGAACAAATATAATCATTTTTGAACATAACCATGTGTTCATATATACAGGAGACCACTTGGGAATTTCACGTTATGTGTCACGTTTTTCTCCCCTCTTCAAAACAATATTTATTGGAGGCAGGTAAATGCCATGAAAAATATCAATCAATCACAAAAACATAACGAATAACGATAATAACAACAACGACAAATTGTGTTACTGAGGATTAACAGATTAATTTTAAATAAATTTTATGTTGTTTTAAAATGTCATTCACTTTTTTTACATTCGTTTAATAGTACAAAATATATCATTTTTTGAGTAAGTACATCATAATATAATAATTTATCAATTTAAAAATGGTTCATAAGTTAAAAGACTTTTTAAAACAATTAGTTTTTTAAAATTGATAAATGAAATACATAGTATTTACATAATTTATAGCTAATTTTAATTAATTACATAATTCATACTTAATATTATAATAAATAGTTAATCAAAAAGATTTCCAAAGAAGTTGAATTTTCTTTTCATAACATCTAAACAAATAAATTTTAATTTGGAAAACAACTTTAATATAAATAAGTGCATATTCCTAAAAACTTCAAATCTTTGAAATTTCTATGAAACATGTCTGTTTCGCGAAATTTTAAACTCATTGCTTTAAGATTTTACAGGAATGTACTTTAGAAAAAAATGTACTTTAGAAAGTTTAACGATACTTCTGATTTGTATATTTTCAAAGAACGTTTAATGTCAAAAATCTGGTATTTAATTAAAAAACCAATAAATATTTAATACTAAAATATTATACTTGTCTTATTTATAATATAAATTAAATAGGGAGTGTAATAATAAAAAAAAAAATTAATACTATTTTATGCGTGATATTATTTATAGGTATAAAGTACAATGTGTACACACACGATATGCAAAATATTACAATAATTAAATAATTTCTTGTAAATTATAACTCTAATAATATTACATCAATCAATTTAAAAGATTTAAGTTTACAGAGAATATTATTCAATTTTTATTGTTATTTATAGAAAATTTTAAACTATATACTTTCCATTGTATATTTTATTACGCGACAGAGAACGTTGTGTATGATAATTATGCGATTATAGTCGTTTTCAAACTTTATATTTTTACTATTATAAATATTTGTATGTATTTAAAAATACCCTCAATAGGATTGACCATTTGGAGCGATTTACAGATATTAATTTACATATATTTTACATAATACTACGATGACAAATACGCAATAACATGATATTATAAAATGCTTAATTATTAATTAATTGATATCAGAGCTATGACATTTACTGTGAAAATTAGAAAAAAAAGAACTTATTAGATAAAAACAGATTTAGAATCAGTGTTCAAACGTGACGATTCTGTCTATTATTTTGGAAATTTTTAATAATTTCCGGACTGGTAGGTCAGTTAGTGAAAATATGTTCAATGATGAAACCCACTTGATATGCAAATTGAAGTATCTCATTAGCCATTACGAAACAATGTGATATTTTTGTGTTGTAAATTCTAAGTATTGTGATAATTACATATTATTAATACCATGAAAATATATTCTTGATTATGTGAAAAAAGTTTTCATTTAATTTTAAAATTTCAAGCATTGAGATGAAAAAAAGTGTTAAATCGTAGAACTATTAATGTACCTATGTCTCATATTTAAGAAAATAATTAATTTGAACAATTTAAATAGTAGTTATAAAATGTTTAGTACAATTCAATTTTTTATATATACATTTTAAAATGGTATTGTAAATAATATCCATTGTCAACTATTGTAAAAAAAAAGTATAAAAGTTTCTTATACTTGTTAGTTTGACAAAACTAATAAAAAGAAATAGTGCTTGACTCAAAGCAATTAGATAATTATTTTATATTGCGTATTTGGACTGAAATAGAGAATAAAAGTGCAATAATACTACATAGGGGGCTGCCAAAAGAACTTTGTTTCTAGACGTATAGTCGTAATGAAATAAAAAGTTTGAAAAAAAACCTACCTAGTTTTTCTTTTAATCCAACATTGATTTTAAACCTTTAATATAATACGTACAACGTTTATAATTAAGAAAAGTCAAGTTTAAAACTATATATTGTCAATTCGTTTTATTTGATGAAAAGAAAAAAAACATATAAATTAATCTTTTTGATTAATTTTAATTTATAAAATATATAGGTAACCTACTATGCTACTATGCATTAAGCAAAAAATGTATAATGTATTGACGATTAATGATTATAATTTCTACTTACTGTGATATTACACAAATACCAAGAAATACTATGCAGTGACTATACATTGTTAATTGAGTTAAAAATATTATTATCACTAGAGATCAGAAAATTGCAAAAAGTAATAAAAATATGAAAAGTTAAAATGAATAAAATAACGACTTGGTCAGTAATAATTGTTTATTTTATTCTAACACCATTTTATTAAGACTCTAAAAAACAGTTTTTAAAGTTTTTTAACTCGAAGACCATTTTCAACGATGGCTTTAACAAAAAAAGTTTGACGTAAACTTTCCAGTACAATACAATATACATATATAGCATAACATGTGTTGATTCTGGAAGTCACAATGTCGTTTAAAAGTTACCTTGTGGCACAAACACAATCACGTAATCGCATTTATTATACGAAATTTATGGTTTAAAAATTAAATATTAGTCAGTTAATAAAAAATTCAGGTTTTTTAAATTGTGTCATACTTGGAATTATAGACTATTCAAGTATACAGAATATTGCAGTTTATAGTATTATATTTTTGAATATTTTTTCTCTAACAAATGAAATTATATTTTTATACTGTTAAAAAAAGCAAAAACTAATCGAGTATAATGCATACTTACTGCAATGACTCTTTAGATTTAGACCTGATGAGAAACGATTTGTTGGTGCGCTTGTAAGCCAGGGCGAATGTGACTGCCACCAGAGTGACTATGAGTGCAGACCCACATCCAAGCGCAAAAAAGAACGCACCGTGTGCAGGTACTAATTCTTCAGGTGCTTCGTCGCCATGTTTAGGCGAAGTCAATGCGGTATTTCCACCACCAGTAGTCGCCACAGCAGTTGCGACCTGCACTGTTCCGGTTGTCCCACCATACGAAGGTTGCATTATCAATGTCTTATCATTATTTTGGTCATTGTCGGGTTGTGACCGTGGTGACAGCAGCGGTGGTTGGGCTGGAGACTTTGGAAGCTGTTTCTGTTGGCTCTGAGGCAATTCGTCAATCAGGTTAGTCTCTAGCGAACCATCCTTACCTATAAATAGACATACGTGAGATTTTTTAGAAATTGTAATGGAAATAAAGCACAAGTCACATCTAAATCATGGCCATGTTGGACGGGCGCTAACTTCTCCAACAATCGAAAATCGAAATCTAACAAACAGATTGGAGTAATTTTGTTTAGGGAAGAGTCCTAATATTGTGGTCACTTTTTGACTACAAGAGTCCTTCAGATAATTTAAATATTACGTATAACAGTCTGGAATAAATTTAATCTACACTTCTATGCATTTAAATTAATATTGACGATATGTGATTATATAGTTGTGGTACCCTTTAAACGAAATCTTTATTCAATAATTATGATTGTAATATTCTATAGTACCAATGCTAAAGTCTGCATAATATGATAAGGTTAATCCTGATACTTGAATAACCGCAGTACTGGGACCAAAATGACGATTTCGATTTCTATGTGGACTGCCGTCCTAACTAATTGTTTATCTAACTAATCGATGGTATAAATATATGTATATATATATATATATATAAGTGTGTTATAAACTATTGTTTGATGTTTCCATTTATTTATTAATAACCCACAAACAGCTATAACAAAATGTTAAATGAACACAAAATTGACAAAACTTCTTTCGTGTTTTGTAAAATAATCGTTGTTTTTAAACTTTTATTTGGCTTAAAACAAATTAAGACCATCACTTCTATGGCACGCGAATAACTATGTTGCTATATCCGTGTGTAAATATTTGTTTTCATAGCTGTTTTCACTTCTTACCAGGCGGGGGAAAAAATAATAATCAGCACGAAATCTAGCGAAAACCACAATATTTCTTCTACTCTCTTATCATTTAGAGTCTACAAAAATCATTTATTTACTCGTTCAAACAACACTCTACCGTGTTAGGATTAATACGGAAGAACAATATGAGTACAAAAAGATTTTATTAATCATGTAAGGATTTATCATACAAATTAAACAAATAAAATAAATAGCTTTATTCATAGATGCCTTATTTCGTAGTGGACTAATAGCTTCATTCACGGTTATTATTAAGCAAAAAAATATTTTTTTCTTTTTACTAATAAATTTATTTATTTATTTATTTATATCTTTGTTTAATAACATTAAAAATCATAGTTTATTAGAATAAACAAATAATATTTGATTTTAAAATTGTTTATTGGTCATTTTACTTTGTGAATTTAACAAGTCGTTGTACAAAACATTCGTGTCACTTTTTAAATTAATTATTTAAGCCTTAATTATTGTAGTTCACTCACGAGGAAAATCAATTATAGAATTTAATTTGAATAAATCAAAAATTAATTTTGTGGCTTAACTAAACACTATATGTATTTAATGTTGATAGTGAAAAAATAAATTGCTGAGTTTAATGAGATTATGACACATTTAACGCATGTTTTCACAAATTCAAATTATACAACTTATAATGACATTATTATTAATCATAAGGTTACACACAAATTACGCTTTAAAAATATTTAAAATAGTTATTTTTATTATCATCTTTAATATGATTTTATTATTAAGAAAAGTATATTTAATAAATTATTTAATGTCACAGAATACGCAACAAAATGTTAAAGAAAAAAACAATTCACTCCCCAATATGTGTCGTGAGCAGGGATATCATCCATCCTCATTTTGCACAAAATCTATAGACCTTCCAGCAAAATGTGTTCTCTGTTAAATAACTTACCTAGCTAACTACAAATGATGAAATTATACCGCGTATAAAAACATCAATCAAAAATATTCTTTACTGCCTAGTAACCAACAAGGATGAGTTATTCTCAAACAACTTTTAATTATTTTTGTTATTCTCTACGTAAAAAAACCCAAATTTATCTAATCTAGAGCAGAATGATTGAATGAAATAATGTTAATATTAAATTTAGACGATCTAGTTAATATTAAAGTCAGCTTAAAATTAGTCAAATTCCCATATTAACCATTTTTTTTTTAACTTATACTCAAATGTATAAGTTTAATTATGTAAACTAATTTCCTAGACACAAATTTAACTTCCACAACATTAAATTTCATTAAACAACAAGATCACTGCCTAGCTAATATATTTTTATATAAAAAACTTATATGCCCAAGCGTTTAACTGAGACTCATACTCGGGCAATTATTAAAACTTAAATATATCCTTACATCTTACTATTCCATTACCGTAAAATAATTTTTTGAAAAGGCTTTTCTGTTCAATAAAACCCGGAACACTCTGTTTCTTCTTTAATCCAACCTAGCGTATTGTGAAATGACTAGCCCCACTATTAAACCCCTGAGCTCTGATTAATTCACTACTTACCTTTATTATTATCACTGATTCTGCCGATGACGAATCCCTACTTATTTTTGTATCCTCCAAATAAATCCTAAGATGGCTTCTCACATTCTACTATTCTACCCCAACTTACAAGCGACTAGATATAATAAATAGATCAAGATTAATCAAATAGAAATCTAATATACATTTACTTTCAGACGTAGAGATCATCATTCTACCGCCGTTTTACTAATAATAAATTAATACCTTCCATTCGAAATTGCTGTTACTTTAGCCTATAACTTAGTCGTTGACTAACGTGGTTTACTTACAAACATAATAAACATTTCATCTTACAAGTAATTACATCGCCAACATCGATTTTTTTACATTTAAACACTAAAATATAAATAATAAAATTCTCATCTAAAAATTAAAACTCAAACCTGTATGAGTCTGGAAAATTAAATTCTAAGAATCTATCATATCAACTAAACTATTAACTAAATCTATTTCACATTGGTATTACTCCAGATGAACATCTAAGACATCTAAAAAGCAATTAGTTTCATGACTTACGAGTTGAATAAAAATTAAACTTTCACTGTCTAAACTCCAAAGGTTTATTCAACAAGTCACCAATTATATTTCTTCACTGTGCTTCATTTACACAATTAAACTTAATGTAAATCTAGTATAGATTTTGTAATAAATAACTGATGTTAAAAAATAACGATATTTTTAAAGTATATAATAATAATGTTTTAATTTCATGATAATAAATTATTTAAATTAATACTGTTATGTTATGTTATTTGACAAAAATACTCCTCTGTGTAATATTAAAATCACATAAACGCACCACCACCGACAATGACTTGCATTAATTATAATCAGATGATTATCATAATTATCATCATATAGATCACCGTATTGTCATACAACAAATTCGCGGCTGCTTGTATACGTGGTTTATCATAATAATAATAATAATCATATCATAGTTATTTAATTTGACATTTTGATGGCGTTTAATAATAATGTATAATTTAATAAGGTAATTATTATCATAGTGAACACAAACATCATTATTTTGGTTGAATTTTGTGATTATCGTAAAAACCTTATTGACATAGTTTGAAGTATAAACAAAGCTACAATTTTGAAGAAAAAAATCTAATTTATTTTTACAATTTTTATATTTTTATATTTTATTTTTCATATTTTAACGAACGCCTTTATTTTTAAGCAAACATTGAGTTTTAAAGTATTCGGTATAATTTAAATTTGTAAGTTCTTACTATTGTCATTATAAAAGGCCAAACTATATAGGAATATTATTTTTAAAAGAACGATATTGTATATACTATAACATATATTAATATTATATAGTATAGTATAAGATGTAAGTATTAATAATATTACGTTACGTAATTTGGTATAAGTATAAATATAACATTGTATCGATTATTATGCGCTTTAATTACACGTTGCACTAACATACCGTAAACAATGAATATTAAAATGTACGTTTGGCATACAAAACAGTTTTATACGTTTTCAAACCGAAGAGACATAATACACCATATATTTGAACTTTATTCTACGTAGTAATTTTAATTAATTAAATCATAGTTGGTGGCTGAAGTGCACTGCCCCACCATTCACCGTCAGATTAATTATTATCCAATAGCCTAATCTGCACCTCCATACTCGTATTATTATTATAATTATTTGGTGTATATAAACCTATAGCGTATCCGAGTCCCCTACCACCCCCGTCCAAAACAACTGACGCTACTACCGTTCATAACCTTTGACGGTGGCGGTTCGATCGACCTAATGTAACCGCCGACAGCAACTTTACTTCAAAGGCAATGTAGTTCAAATACACCACAATATGAGTAATTTGAAATGCAAAACGGGACAAAAGTGTAATGGTGTTTCGGGATGGTTCGAGGCGTTAAACAATACTTTAAAGGGACAGAAAGAACCGTATAAACGAGTTTGTTCATCAGCATTGGTGAACAAATCCACTCGAGTCTCAAATGCCTGTGATGCACCATATAATCAGTAGTGATCAATTACACCAACAATAACACAGGTCTACAAAGATTTTACTGTTTAAAATTTAATAACTGATTTATATGTATTTTTTGACACTGATTTCAAAAATATTACAATTTTTTGTCTATCACGTAAAGTTCTAAAGTTATCCCGTTATTACCAATTAACATTATGCACAAATAGCCTACGAACAGTTAATTCTTTATTATATGTTATCGTTACGATATTAATACATAGTTACAATAGACAACCATATCTTAATCCATACATTTTATCATAATGAATAAAGATATAGTGGTTTTTATATTAGGTACTATAGGTTTATCTGTATATTCGACTATATGGGATCGTCAATTAGGAAAAAACTGATAACATAAGCTCGGAGGTAAATGTGTTTACCTATTATAACTTTATTTTTATTATTTAGTGTCACAGTTTCAATAGTAATTATATATTATTGTCAGTGTTCTATTAGAAATATTTTATTAAATATAATATAATAAAATATATTATAAACATGGAAAAAAGACGCTGCGTTAATAGTCCAGACATTTTTTGTTTTATTTGTGGTGAGTTTATGGTGAAGAAACAAATTCAAAACATCAATCCTTTCGTAAAAAATGCATATTATGCATATTTTGGAATAAAAATTGGAGACCAGGATAAATCATGGGCACCTCATAAAGTTTGTAAAATTTGCGTCGAAGACCTTAGAAATTGGACTAAAGGTAAGAAAAAAGCTTTACGTTTCGGAATACCAATGGTTTGGCGTGAACCTAAAAATCATGGTGATGATTGTTATTTTTGTTCATGTAATGTACAAGGGTTTAATATAAAAAATAAGAAAAATATTATCTATCCCGATGACATTCGATCTGCTATAAGACCCATGCCCCATGGACCTACTATACCCATACCTTTACCTCCATTCAATCTTGATACTATTTTAACATCTGAATCCAGTGATATTGATTCGAATAATTCTGATTATTTTGAAGAATCTTGTAATACACCTCAACTTTTCACACAGAGTGAATTAAATGACCTTATAAGGGATTTGGATCTTCCAAAAGATGCTTCAGAACTTTTAGCTTCGAGACTTCGTAATAAAAACTTATTAGCACCAGGCACGTTGTCATCTTTTTATAGAAATCGTGAACATGAGTATGTTCAATATTTTACTCAAGAGGAATCATTAGTATATTGTAACGATATTCCCAAGTTGATTAATAAATTAGGAAATATTGAATATAATAAAAATGAATGGCGACTGTTTATTGATTCAAGCAAACGAAGTTTAAAAGGAGTTTTACTACATAATGGCAATTTTTTAGCATCTGTGCCAGTAGCCCATTCAATATATCTTAAAGAAACTTATGATAACCTAAAGTTTGTTCTCGAAAAAATAAAATATTTAGAACACAAATGGTCGATTTGTGGAGATTTAAAAATAATATGCATGTTACTTGGTCAACAACATGGGTATACAAAATTTCCGTGTTACATTTGTGAGTGGGATAGTCGAGCGCGTGACAAACATTGGACTCAAAGACAGTGGCCTTTAAGAAATAATCTTATTGTAGGAGATAAAAATATATTACGAAGTAATTTAGTCGACCCCAAAAATATTTTATTACCACCGTTACACATAAAACTGGGTCTAATGAAACAATTTGTAAAAGCATTAGATAAAAATAAAAATTGTTTTCAATATTTATGCAAAAAATTTCCACAACTTTCCGAAGCTAAGCTCAAAGAGGGTATTTTTGTAGGCCCACAAATAAGAAAATTATGCAAAGACAATGCATTTTTAAATTCAATGACAACTATTGAAAAAAATGCTTGGATTTCATTTAAGGAAGTAATTAACAATTTTTTTGGAAATATTAAAAGTGAAAATTACGAAACCATAGTAAATTCTATGTTAGAAAACTATCGTATCTTGGGCTGTAACATGAGTATCAAAATGCATTTTCTATATTCACATTTGGACAAATTCCCGGAAAATTTGGGAGACGTTAGCGAGGAACAAGGCGAAAGATTTCACCAGGATATAAAAGAAATGGAGAGACGCTACCAAGGGCGTTGGAGTGTTACCATGATGGCTGACTATTGTTGGATGTTGCAACGTGAAACTCACCATGTATATAAAAGAAAATCGACTAAACGAAGTTTTTTTTCAAAGAGGCAAAGATATTCTTCAAATACGAAGTAATATTAATGTAAAAATTGTATTAGTTGTTTAAAATAGTTATGTAAATAGGTAATCTTTATTATTTTTAATTAAAATTTTTTTTGTTAATATGCTATATTTCATTCGTAAATTGTAAAAAACTGTGACGTGGTATGACCAAATAGTTAATATATTTAAATTTGGTGTACATATTTTAAATAAAACCAGTGATTAGAAACAGGACAGCTTTTGAAAATATTTTTTTTGTAGACCTGTGTAATCATGATAATAATATAATATAAACTTGGAGATGCCGATTTGTCACTCATAGACTTGGTTTAGAAGTTCAAGTGTTTAGATTAAATTGTTCAAGAGGATGTAGGTATTAAAGTTTGATTCATCGAAGTCAGGGAATATAGGTAGTCCAGAGGGAAAATTGTTAAAGGATTGATTACAAACATGGTGAGGTGGAACATATAAGCATAATAATATTGTAATTTCGTAAGATGACGATGAGATTAATAAACTATTACCGATGAGAGAGTCTAAGAGCATGTCGGTGGTCTTCAGACATATCTTGTTCCGGTGAAATACCAGTGACACGTCGCCATGTTTTGGATTAACAGCGGTTATGTTGATAGTGAGCAGAACGTGCACCTCGGAACTCACGACGCCCGTGCACGGCAACTTGAGCCGGAACACTTGGACATGAGACGGTACCCATCCTGACTCCGGGATGTCCAGTTCCGGCTTCTTCATAGCTATGCCATTGTTGGACTCTACACTCCAGGTATACGGTAACTGTAAAATAAAAATAACTTAATATTGTTTAATTATATTATCTTACACTTATTTATTTTGAATAAATATATGTACTGCCAAAACGACACTATTTTTTTTTTGTTTTTGAGAATCGATAAGAGAGAATTCCAACAAACGGAAAAGCTTATTAACTACTCACTCAAATTGATTTAAAAAAACTAATTTAACCAAAGTTCTCAAAAATACATTTTGTTTCTGATTATGAGATAATAATAATAATAATAATAATAATAAAATGAAATACGAATGACTTCAAATTTCGAACAAAAATATTCATTCTTTTCGAGGTAAGAAGTATTTACAGTTAAAAGAACCGTACACTACATTTGATCAATGCAGCTGTGTAAATTTAGAATTTACGTAGATGATAGACTACATACTATAATGATAACGGTATCATTATATAATTACTATATCACAGTACTGTATAAGTTTTTTTAATTTTAAAATTATATACTACACATACTTTTTAATTTAATTTACATATTGTAATATCGATAATATTTCATTTTTTTTTTTTATGCTCAAAATAATCAACTTCTATATAATATGTACATATAGGTATAGAGTCATGAAGATAATAGATCCGAGATCAGTATTCTTATTCGGATGTTGTGCAAATTCATTATTATTATTATATAAAAATTTAATATCAATTTGTATTTATAATAGACGTCTGAATAAGCATTTAAATGTATTATTATTTCTTATTGAAATGAAAAATAATTACAGTTACTGCTACCATTATAATAATATAAAATAATATAATTAACCAAAAAAGCCTAAATATTTTAAATTAGATTATTTCTCATCTTATTGTAGAAATTCATTATTTTTATTTTAATCATAGAAAAATTCTACTCAAAAGAATTCTAATTTTTACGTATCAATAAACCTTCTCTTTGTCATTAATAAAATATTTAAATATCGATTGTAGCCCATCAAGGTTTTTGAATTATAATTAATACTCGTGTTTAATACAAAATGATCAAAGTTACTTTAATATATATATATCATATTATAGTTAAATCACATTTTTAAATTGTTAAATGTGGAACAATAATTAAAATATGTTAAAAATAAAATATTCTATTAGTTGATATACATAAAATACGTTTAGTTTCTCAATAAATTATTTTGACTAAATATTCTTTTTTATTGAAATAAATGCAATAAAATAAATTTAAACTTATATTAATGAAAAATCGTTTATGCGAAAAATTTAATTAAAAACTATTCAATCACAGAACATTTCGCAGACCACAGTGTAGAGTGGTGAAAAGTTTAAAAAATCACGTCTAAAAAAAAGTGTAAGTGGAAAATGTAATAATTGAAACTCACCGTTGATCACGGCCATGACGTCATGTATATGAATACATTATAAACATTATGTACATTCCGGAAGGTAATTCTACAACAATAATAATGAGGAAACGCTGTGATTCTGTTTGTTACAAGACCCTTGAAAAACCATTATCGTCCCATTTATAAGAGGGAGGGTATAATAATGTAGACACTTTTTCCCGGGTGCCCGGACTAGCAGCACCACCTCGGGACGTTTGAGGGATACGAAAAATGAAAAAGAAAGTAATCCGACGTGTATAATATAGGCTGCGGGAGAAGCGTGGGGATGATGGTGTAAGTTTAACACGGGACTTAGGCTCGTGTCCAATTATCATTGTCGTGTATTATATATCATTATATGTATATAATCGGTGGCGGCGTGTTTCGGGCCGTTGCAAATGATTATGTGTTTAGCGGGGGCGAATTATTACCGGGAACTATGTGTAGGCAGAGTACGGGAGAGGGATCGCGTAAATCCCACACAGTCGGTGAGTGTATAATATTATATATTTTATATAAACTGCTCGCACCTATTGCTGCACATTATTATTGTATATTATATTATACGCGCATAATATAATGTAATACCGTCGTGCGTTACTCGTCTGAGCGGCGGTCGGGGATGAACTATTATATTATATAATATCGTTATTCGTCGTTGTCAACTATACAATAAAACTAATACTCTACATGCGTGTGGTACGCACAACGATGTTCATCGGTGCGACTGCTGCGGTGCAGACAACTTAGGTGCATATATATATACAACGACACGAGGTGTGTTGTACGTGTGTGCATGCGTATAATGCACCTTCGCGCGACTCAAGCTCAACAATAGTATTTTAGGGTAAAACATTGTTCACTCACACACACACACACACAAGCGCATGCGAGGGGGTGCTCACGAGTAATATAATACCTGTGTATATATAAATATTTGTAAATGTTTTTTTCCACACCTATATATACGTATATGTGTTCGCGTGTACGCGAGACCTTTTCTCTCCTCATCCTGAGCCTGTATAAAGCGATTACAAAAGCTCTTTTTCGAGGAAGGGATGGAGAGGGCAACAGTCCCGTGCGACTATAAGTTTGCCGAGATTTCCGACCCTGTTTCTGACACATGTGTCACACGCGGCGCGCCAAATCCCCCACGCCCGGCAACTCCTCTCTGCCACCACGCTGACTCTATACATGTACATTGTATATACCAACGGTAAAGTACGCGAATAGACCATTGAATCCCATTTTCTCGACCCTCCGTACCAAACCAACGTCACGACTATTCGTACGCAGAGCTCGCTAGAGAGAAAGAGATAGAGAGATGACGACCTTTGTATGTAAATAAACCCCAGAGTCGGTTGTGGCTGTCACGAAATGTAACCGAATGTTTGTCTCTCCGGCAGCTTACCCCATACTATTCCAAAGTCGTTATACGTGTATTTGTTTTTTAACCAATTTTTTTTTCGTTTGTGCTATTTTTTTTCTTTATTTTCAGTGTTTACGGCGTCCAAAATACTTATCCCTTTTCCGCTCCACACACGCCTTTCGCTAAACAAATATATATATATATATATATATGAATTTATGAATGTCAACTAAAGCATGCATTGCGTTTGTCTATAATTTTTATCATCAGGCTTCAACGTTCTTCCGGCCACACTACAGACGCGCCTATATTGTTATATGGATTATATAACAAACAACAGTAGTGCACACACCTTTTATCGTTATCCGCACTTAGCACCATATACCAACGAGGCAGTACGACTGTCGTCTGTCATCACGGTATGTGACGTGTATAGTATGTATGGACGCTGCTATATTATATTGTGTCAAGATATAATATTATTATTATTATGTATAAACATACGCGGGTATACGATGACATCGTTTAGATTTATAAACAATGCTTCATCCATTATTTTGATATTAATTCAATAATGGCTCTTTACTGTATATATTAGTATAACATCAATACCTTATAATGAGAGTATCCAACGTTACAGCTATAATTACCCTCATTATATAAGCTACCTATCATTCGAACGACCACAATTTTATTCATATTCCGCACTGCTATGAGTTTGGATTATAGAAAAGTTATTAAAATAAGTAATCTTCTTCCGGTAGACTAAAAAATCATATCACATATTATCTGATATGCATTTTATATGTATATTATAACAAACAATTATGATGTTAAATTTACTTTTTTCGTTTATCATTTAAAAAATAAACCCATTCCTCTATATTCAAATATTATACTGTCATTCAGACAATACTTAGATCTACTAATCTAATATTCTTCTATAACTTAAAGCAGAAAAAATTAGTTTCGATTAATTATGGAAGTACAAAGGAATTATATTAACTATTACCTCCCCTATAATTTCGATTATCAAAATTTAAGTAATCAGATATTGCAATGTCGGTTTGCATCGAGCTTACACTATCATAATATCCATGTATGTAAACTATATATGCTTATATTGATTCCGTGTAAGGATTACGCGGGACCCTTGTCGACATGCATATTTAATCAATTCGCATTGTTTAATCATGATTTAATGGAATTTCTAAGGAATTAATCGTTTTTGAAATACGAGAAGTAACTCATTGAAACTCTTTGAAAGGGTCCTTTGACCGAGGTCTCGTAAACCATTTTCATTAACCTGAATGTTGGAAAAATTAAGTTTTCTGCGGATGCTTGAACCTAATTGGTTTTTCACGTCCGTTCACTAATTAATTTTAATTTATAATGTAGAAATGTTTCTTTCTGCTGCGTACACGTCTATATACAGTATACAAACTAGTATCAGTATAATACAAATAAATATATATATATATTAACATTTTTATAAACCAATAATTAATTTGATATTTATGAGATCCTGTAGCAACAAAATTACAGTTGATTGTTAAATAATGTACCTGTTACCTGTAGCATGAAACACTAAAAAATATTCAGTTGAAGAATTGTGTTTTAATTAGCTTTTTTTCTTTAACTACCTATTAAATATTTTAATAAATTATTATACACGAATATTTGTATAGTAAAAATATATAGGAGGGACCTACAATGAAAGTAAAATATATAAGCAAGTAATTATTTTAATACGTCACACACCGCATAATAAAACTGATGTTTAATATGCACAATTATTTAATATTTTATATATACACAAAAATAATAAATAAAATATGTTTATATTCAAATATAAATAGGCAACAATAGTGAAATAATAAAAATAATGAATGTTGATAATATTATACATGGATTGAAACTATAAGATTGTATTATGTATGGTTCGACTGGGGTGGACCAAAGATAATTTTTTGGAGATACTACAATAAACGATTACAGTTAGCTACTTCCCACATATATAATCTTTTTTATATTGATTTTACATCATATAAAAAACAAATATTAATTTTCGTTCATTTTTATCTATAAAAAGTTAACTATAAAATTTTCAATATTTTATTTAAAAACTATAGAATGATAAAAAAGAAGTTTTTTTTTATCAATCTTCCAACTCCATGAATTTTTTCTGGAAAATAAGTCAACGATTTGATGAACGTCAGTTGGTATACTATTATGTATATTAAGCACAAGTAATATATATTACTAA